TACTTGTGGCATTATTTTTTATAACAAAGACAACACAAATAACAAATGTCTATGTAAAAATGTCTTTGAATATTTGTGTTTCTCTTCGTTTTTTAAAAGTGGTGTCATATACAGAAAAAAAAATATCTTTTTGTAACTCTCTAATCGTTTGCTCGCGCAGAATTTATCCAAATCGTGTTCATAGAAAGCGGATTTATTTATTTAAATTCAATCATGGAGTCTCATTGGAGAACTTAGGATTGTACTCCCTCCGTACACAAATAAACTTTACGTTCACTATTCACAGGGTCAAACTTTATTCACTTTGTTGGCCTATTTTCGTCACCCATGTAATAAAATAATATAGTCATGTCACCTCTAGTTTTGTAGATTTTTTGATATAGTTTTTTAATATGTACTTCCTTCGTCCCAAATTATTTGCCACATTTGTTTTTTTAACAGTCGCGGGAACTTTTGTTTATTTCTACGTTTTCAATGGTTATTTGATAAAATAAAATATTCTTGACACCTCTTATTTCGAAAAACTTTTCATGTAGTTTTTTGATCTGTATTTTTTATTTTTTATTTCTTTACCAATATGTAAATAAAATGAATTGAAAAAACTTGATATTTTGCCTCGGTAATAGAAATGTGACAAATAATTTGAGACGGAGGGGGTAATTTTTATTTTTCAATTCTACACCATTTTTCATATAAAATGATTTGAAAATAACTTCAATCAAACATCGTAACGCACCATGTAAAGTTTATTTATGGACGGAGGGAGTATTTATAAAAAATGATGTTTGATTTTCTTTTATACAGCACGAAAAAAGACACATTAAACACGAGGGTTACATCACTAACGATGTCCATTGAAGAAGTAGGAAACATTTCACTATGTTAAAATAGACATCCATTAGTTGCATTATTCCATGGAGAGATCAGATAGCCATCAATTGTTTTCTACTTTTCTTTATTAAAACAGTAGTATTCATTAAATTGTTATCACAAAGACACAAACGACAGCCAAATTGATTGATAATTGGAGTGTCTTTAGTCTCTATCAATTACACTCTCCATTTCAAATTAAATTGTCTATTTACTATTCACATAATCAAATTTAACTCATCATTTTTTTATTTTTTTAGTCATTTAATAAAATAATATAGTCATGTCGCCACTAGTTTTGAAGATCTTTTGAGATAATTTTTTAATATGTAATTTTTATTTTTTAATTCTACACCAATATTCATATGAAATGAGTTTAAAATAATTTCAGTCAAACATCGTAAACGAAATATGTAATTTAGATTGAGATAGAGTAAATATTAGATTGAGGACTAAATTAAATTGGAGTCATAATTTAACACATAATGGTTGATTTTAATTACTCTATCCGTTCCAAAATGATTTACTATTATGCCTCTAGATGACTTTTGTTTAATTGCATTTCTCATTGATTATTTGATAAAATAGAATATTTTGTTTACCTCTTGTTGTTTTGTAGAACTTTGGATATTATTTTAAATACTATTTCCGTCCCTATTTAGATTACAAATTGGGACTTACGAACCAAAATCCTGGATGTCTTGAAATCATTTTATTTACAAATTAGTATATCAATAGAAATAAAAAATACTTCGTATTAAAAAATCGCATCAAATGTTTTACAAAACAAGAGTGAAAAGAGTAATTTATTTTATCAAACAATCAATGAAAAACAAATAAACAAAATTGCAAAAGTTATCCGAGAGCATAGAGAAAGAAAATTGTGTGCATATATATTTTATTTTTTATTTCAATACCAATTTATAAATATTTTTTTTAATAATTCACAAAATTTTGCACATTGATAAAAAATAGTAATTTATTTTCGAACCGAGGGAGTAAAAAAAATTTCCAATGGATGGAGGACAAATGTCATCCACACTAAAGGGTCTAGGCTACTTTTTCAACAATTAGGATTGGTTTGATTTTTTCTAGAGAAAAAAATAGGAGTTGATATTGACATCTTACTTTGTATTATTAATAGTTTTGCACACTATATATCCATGTGATTTCTTTATCTAATCTGAATGATTATGAACTGATTAGAATAAGTTTTGGTTTGATCTGGTCTAATGTGTTTTGAATATATTTTATTTAAACTTATTTTTGATTTGAACTAATCTCATTCCAATAAGTAATTAATAATACTCTCTTCGTTTTACAAAGAACTTCCGTCCTAACTTTTGACCTCATTAAATACTTCTGCTCTCATAAAACGTTTAAAATACTCTCAAAACAACTTCTACTCACAATAAACTACGAAAAAAAGTTTATTTTAGCCATTTTATGTGTGGTAAAAATGTTTTGAAGGATGCACAAAAATTAGTGTGGAAGTATTTTGTAAAACTTAGGGGGTAAGAATAAGTGAATGTTTCTCTATACTTATAAACTCGTCAAAACTACTTATAAATAATTTTTAGTTTATAAGTCAGCAAATGATGTGATTCTCTATGCTCATAAGGTGAGTTCTGCTTATAAGTCAAAGAAAAATAAATAGGTCTTAAATATTTATAGGTGTGTTTTTTCATTTTTCCACTTTGACTAGTTTACTTACAAAAGTATCCTTCACATATTATGAATATCTCCAAATAATTTATATATCATTTAAGTCATTTTATCTACACAAAAGATTTTTTAACTTATAAAGAGTATGTAAGCCAAAAATATTTATAAACAATATGTCAATAAACACCAGTACAGAGAAATACATACTAAGTTGTAGAGAACATGGCCTAAATTAGGCCAATAGTGAGTAACGGCGTATAAGAGGTGGGTTAGCTTGTGTTTTTAGATTACTGCAATTCTACTTTCTTTTTATTTGCATTCATTCTCCTTTTTTTTCTTATATCAAGAGTGCTCCTTGGATAGACCATGAGTGCATATTATTTTTGTAAATTTTCTCACATAAATTTTTCTTTTAAAAAGACAAATGCTTATTTAAATAGTAGAGAAGAGCTTGTTATGTTCATAGGTAAGTCCAAAGTGAATCTTAGATTCACCATAGAATTTGTCCTATATCACACCTAACCTAAGCCGTTATGGTTCTAGTAATACTGAAATCATCTAGTGTCATTCTCTTACATTGGATCCGATTTAAATATTTGTCGTGATTTCTTTGTATAATTAAAAGAAGAAATCACTAAAAACAAGTGTAAAAAATAAAAAAGTACTTCATTCGTCCCTATTTTGGTTATAATTTTATTTTTTCTCTCTTCTCAATAACTTTTGTTTGCTTGTGCGCTTTCATTGATTATTTGATAAAATAAATTATTCTTGTCACCTCTTATTTTGTACTCCCTCTGTCCCAGTTTAAATCGCCTGTTTTGATTTTTGGACATATTTAAGGAAAATAAAAAATAGAGTTGATTTTTCGAAATTGACATTACTTTTTAGGAAGAGTGATGATGAATGTAGTTTAGGTATTTTATTTTTAAAAGTTTACGAAAACAACTAACAAGCAACTTATTTTGGGACGGAGAAAAAAGGCAAACAGACAATTTAAAATGGGACAGATGGAGTAGAACTTTTGATGTAGATTTTTAACATGTAATTATTATTTTTTATTGATGTACCAAAGTATAAATAAAATGATTTCAAAAATCGTAGGATTTTATCTCTTAATTCCCATTTTGTAATCAAAATATGGACAGAGGAAGTATTCAATAAGAGTCCTGTTTTTATAACCCGAAATAGAAATTTGCTAGCACTGTATTGATGCCACAGTGTTTTTTGATGTTTATATATTGTTGATTTTTCTCTAAGCTTATAAACTATTCAAAACTACTTATAAACAATTTTTAACCTATAAATTAGTTGTGTTTATTGGCTTATAAATTGACTTATACATTATTTATAAGCTAGAAAAAATAAATAAGTTTTACTTGCTTATTTTTAAGCTAATTTTTTTATTTCTCTATTTTGACCAGATTATTTACACAACTATTGCTCGCCATTTATGATATTCTCAAATGACTTGTATATAATTAAGAACAACTTTAGTGAGGTAGCTTAAGGGAGTCCCTAGCTAAAAAAACACTTGTTTCCGCACCTCCTTTGATAAATTTAGCAATGCATGTTCCACTTAGACTCCACATAAGCTGCACATTAACTTTTTCAAGTTAAAGAACTCTCCATTATCTTTACATTAAAGATGCTCTAAGTCATTTTTACTTCCATAACATTTTAACAAAATAAACATGTACGGAGTAACTCTCATTTTGATACTTTTTCTATGTTCTGCTCTTAGTTTACTCTTTTTTCTAAAATTAATGATTTTCACACTTAATTTCTTTCAAACCTCAACCAACCTCCTGTCTTAATTATCATTGGGCCCATCGACAAAAAAAAGGGAGGGGTGCAGAGGTGTGGATTAGAGATTTAGGAAGGCAAGAACCATTAATTTTGTAAAAGAAACACCGTGTCCCAAAAAGGATGCATCACCTCAATGCCACTAGATCTAGGAGAATCATCTAAAACCTAAATATAGAGTACCTCCCTCCTAAAAAATCTTTCCACATTTTTATTTTTCGTCAACTTTCTATACAGTTTAATCATTAATAAATATACTCCTTTGTCCCATATCTTTATTCTCATCTGATTATTCACAAGTCTCTAATTCAATACTTTGACTATCAATATCTCTATTTATATATAAATATAGAATATAAAAATATAGTATGTCAAAACTACATTTCAAAATGAATATATTAACATAATTAATGTAGTGTTTTCATAATTATTGTCAAAATTTTAAACCATTGACCACAAAAGTTGAAAAGAAAGATATAAGACATAATGAAGTAATTTTATATTAATAAATGTAATACTTATTTGATCTGGAGTATATCAAAACTACTCCCTAAAATGAACTCAATTATACTACCTCTGTTTAGTTACTTAGTATTATATAGCCTTAGGGGCTGTTTGGCAACTTCTGAATAGGTAAGTGATGAACTAGTAAGAGGTCTGAACCATTAAGTGCTAGTATATTGCTTAACTATTCAGAGGCAAATGTCTGATTAATTCAGATAAAAAGTCTTAACCATTCAGACTCTGTATAATACTTAACCATTCAGAGGCAAATGTCTGAACTATTCAGACATCTGAACCATTAAGAGGCTGAAACAAACAGTCTAAACCATTAAGTGCTGAACCATTCAGACATCTGAACCATTAAGAGGCTGAAACAAACAGCCCCTTAGTATTATAGAGCCAAGCTTTTTTCACTGTATCCCTATTTTGATTAGTCTTTTGATATAATAATATAATCATGACATTTGTTTTGTAGAACTTTTGATCTAGTCTTTAGCTATGTAAATTATTATTTTTTACTCTAACTCAATTCTCAAATAAATTGTCTTGAAAATAACTTCAATCAAACATCGTTAACCGAAACAAACGACTCAAATTGAGAAGAATGGAGTATTAAATTTATATCATAACTAAACAGAATGTGGAAGCATGTTGGCGTAGTGAGAAGAAAGACACCCAAGCTCCTCTACATCCAGTGTGCAAGGCTTCAAGCCTCACCCTTGCGCTTGAGAGGTTGGAGATTATATAATTGAATTACACTGATGGATATGAAAGCATTTTAAAAAAGCTGAACGTTTTCACAACTTTGAGTCAAAGTGTAAAAAATGACCCAAAGTAACAAAATGTGAAATGATTTTTTGAGGGGGATGTATTCAATAGGCCGTGTATTCAAAACACAAATTGATCTCTCTAGAATCTCGCGCCCTACTTAACGTTTATTCCTACACCCACCCAGGCTTATAATTGGTTACTACTTCTGGGATTAGTGGACCTTAATACCCACTAAGACCATTTCCTTACATGTTGTACACTTACATGTTGTTTGGTGTACAAGACCTGTCACTTAATTAATTACTCAGGCCCAATATCCATTAACTATTTATTAGAATTGATTTATCGGACATACCTAGCTAATTTGCATCATATAGTATAGATTACATTTTTTAAAAGACTGAAGCATATCTATTATAAAATCAAACTGGCCAAGGATCTGCTTCATTCTTGTTCACATTATTTGAGGGTAATGGGTTTATTTTTGCACCCAAGATGTTTCATCTATGTTTCCAGCTGGAGATAACTAAGACATGTCTATTAACACATACGCAGTACATTATTAGCTGATTGGATTGCTAAATGAGTTCATGTATGTGTTTTTTGGAGGGCAAGCAGTACATTGTAGGGGCAAGTGACAATGAGGAAGATGAGGAAGCAAAGACGTTAAAGGTACGTACTTGTTATGCTAGGACTCGGATCCTACAAACTGATGCCACGCACCTACATGCGAACCTAGACCAAAAACTAGAACAGATTAATTCTATATGACAAGGCAGTCCATGTCCATCAATACCTATGTCTAAGCAACAGCACTAGAATGAGAAATCGATAGACGAATATTTGCAACACTACTTACTTCCACACGGGGCACGAATAACACCATCCAAGATTAGGCATAAGTTTTCACATTTCATTTACATAAACACTGATGCAAATCGCGAATGTATGAAGATAATCCATATGTAGGGCATAAGAGTGAGGCATACCATGTAGTAGGCAAGATTGAGGTTGCGGCATTGCTAATAATCACCACGGTAATCACTGAAACTATCCCTAGGAGAAACCCCACTCTCGCGAAGCTTCTTCTCTTCCTCATACTTCAAGCCTTCTTCCAATGTCATCCCTCCTAGGGCTCCTGCCACAGCTCCAACTGCCAATCCAGTTCCTACTCCAAGCTTTCCACCGCGAGTGTTCTCATAAGATGGTGCATAATCCACTGGTGCACTCGGCCCTGGCCTGGCATAGCCAGATTGCCGGTCCATGAATGGCCGTGGTGGCGGAGGGTATGGAGGGTGGGAGTAGTAAGTGTTATAGTAGTTAGAGTATGGGTCAGAGTGTCCGCTGTATTGATAAGGATGAGGGTTAGGAAGGGGAGTTGGGGGAGATGGGGTCGAATAGTGCTGTGGGCTGTTATAGCTGGTGGGGTTGAAAGGGCTATAGTCCCTGGGATCAGAGAATTGGGGGAAATAATAGCTGGAAATCGGAGGGGAGGAAATTTGGGGAGTCGGGGTGGGGCGTTCAAGGATGGCTAATTTGAGGCGGATCTTACCCTGAGGACGGCCGGAAGGGAGGCGGAGCTCGAAATTTCGAAGCTTTGTGGCATCATCGGAGTCCGTCACGTCCTTGAGGAGGAGCTTTAGGGTTCCGACCAGAGGCTTGGCCGTCTCCGAGGGTTTGGAGTGTAAGATCTCGAGAGTGAGAACCGATTCCTGAGGAGGGAGCGTGAGGGGAACCACGAACCGCTCGTTCCATACCGGGCGGGTGGAGCCGTAATCGTCGGATTTGGTGGAGAAACGGCGGCCGCCGTTGATCCAGAAGCTGGCGTAGGGCTTGAGATCGCCGCTTCTCCAATTGACGTTCTTCAGGTGCTTGGCGGAGACGATGGTGACGTCGGCATCGTAGGGTTTGGAGGTAGGACGAGAGCTTGGTGCAGCCGCGGCCATGGCTGTAAGGACACGCTTGAAATAAGGGGGGACGGTGAGTAAATATACTTGTAAATGGTTCGTTCAGTTAAGAAGAGCTTTGGGCCAATTTTGGATAAATAACAAATCGTCTCATATTCTATGATCCAAAAACACATAAAATAAGAAATGTAAAACTAAGTAAATTGAACTATAAGTTAGTGCAGTATTTATGACAAGGTTCACAATTTATATGTGGAACTAAGAATTATAATAACAAAACTCTTCCAAAAAATCACATTTCATTAGTTAAAAATAACAATTTTTTATTTACTATCTCCGTCCCACTCTCTTTGTCCATTTTTGACTTTTAGAATTGTTCATCTAAGCACTTTGATTCATCAAATTCTCTCAATGTATAAGCCTAAATATAGTCATGTGTGATCTTGTTTGATTTGTCTTAACATATAAATTATTAATATATAATTTCTATAATTTTTTAATATACAAATTACAATATAAAATGGATTAAAGAAGTGCATTGGATGGTGTGCAAAAATGAAAGTGGACAAATACTCTAGGACGGAGGGAGTATTTATCTGTCATCAATCTTTAACGTCGGATTAAATAAAAATTATATGATATATGAGTTAGATAAAATAATATTTTGAAAATATCTTATAAAATAAATCTTATAAAAGTGTTTATCAATAAGGAATATCATTTTTATTTAATTAAGATTATTTGGCGAGCGTAAGAGATATAGATCTCCATATATATCGCGGTATCATAAATTTGGTGAGTTATAAAAAGAATTCAAATTTGATATCTCAGATATCACAAATTTTTAAAATGGATGGTTTCGATGTCTCCCAAATTTGAGATATCTCCCTTAATCGTCGACCAACCTCCCGTCGCCAGCTACCACGGGCACCACCAACAATCCTCGTTGTTGGTGATCCCCTAACCATTAATTAAATAAGGAAAAAAGACTAAAGTAGAAGTAACATATAGAAAATGTATCAAAATAAGAGTTTAATGTTTTTATTTATGAAATAAGAGTTAAAATAAATTTACAATTCCAATCATGATCATATACATTTCTAAAAGTATTGTGAAATGTCCATATACAGTGCCACATTAACATAGTGCAAACTTTTGGTTTGAAAATAAACATATGAAAATTCTATTTTAATATTTTTTTAATGTTTTACTTTTAGGGTGATTTCTTATTAAATTATAATTTTAAATCTTTCAAATGATTTTCTTTCAGATGTCAAAACTTATACTCCCTCCGTTTGGAAAAAATGTTCCTATTTTGACTTTGTGTAAAAATAAGGAAGTATTAAATTGTAGTTGACTTCCAATTTTGCCCTTGATGTGATAGGTAAAAGTAAGATGTGATGGATAGATTATTAGAGATAAAGTATGATGTGATAGGTAGGGTATGAAAAAGTAAAGGTAAAAGTGATTTTTTAATAGAAAGTGGAAGTGTTTTGTTGGAAATGAAAAAAATGAAAGAAGAAGTGTTTTAAAAAACGGAGGGAGTATCACTTTTTCCAAATTTTAAAATTCATGTCATATTATATTATTATGTATTCAAAACTTATCAAATTTTAAAATTCATGTCATATTATGTATTCAAAACTTATCAAATATGCTAGTTTAAAATTGGTCAATTTTAACTTAAAAAATTAAAACCACTTAACCAGATATTCAGTACATCTGTGTATCAAAGGCGGAATCACATCAGTTACGTGGCGCCCCCACTCACATGGCCCCACGGGCGGATACTTAAGCCTGACGTGTACGACGGGTCCAGAAGAAGATATTTCGGACTCCAAGTGCACTTCAAGTAGAGATTTAACTTTCGAATTTCAAGTCCGGGCAGACAATTTATCATTCTCCCTTCCGGTATTAAACCGTCTCGAGGCCGATTAAGCTTGCATCTGCGCTGCGTTTGGGCGTATCGTTGTCGCTCCTTTCTCTCTAAATTGCTCCTCAAGATCAGGATTGAATTTGGATTTCGATTTATAAGCGATTTCAAAGGTTTTAATTTGAAGGAATTTGATCAGAATTAATCTAATTTTTCTAATCTACGAAGTAAAATGGCTAATGACGGGCAGAATCGATCTATGAACGATCGGAATATGGATGATGACGACGAATCCGTCGGCGCTTGTTGTCCGATTGAGGGAACTGAGTCGGTCGGCACCCCGATGGAGTCTGGACGGAGTTCGGGAGCAGACCGACGGCGGACTGGGCTAGCGGAGAGGTTGACGGAGATCTTGGTGGAGGACGGCGATGGAGATCTGTTGCTTCAACGGAGCGATCAAGATTGCAGTGTTTTGCAGTGGCTTCAGGCTTTGGATATGCAGGTGATGGGCGCCTGTCGATCTGATGAGAGGCTGAAGCCTTTGCTGAAAATGAATATCTCCACGGGTGCTGCGGAGGATTGCTTGCTCGCTTATCTCAGTCAGGTTTGTCTTTGGATCTGCGCTTCTGTGGATGTTCTTACCGGTTAAATAACTTTGTTTTTAGTATACTTACAGGAGTGCTAGGTTTTTGTTAGATCTTGCATTTTCTTCGAAAATATACCTCTGGTGCCATATAGATTGTAGTGCGGTTTTTGGTGATTTAAGGTGATGAATGTAGATAATCTGTGTTTCGGGGTATGGATCAATGCATTAACGGATTTATATGTTTTAATGGGGCAGCACTTTGAACCAGCTGAGGTTGGGATGTTGGCGAGATGCTTGTGCATTCCTCTGGTTTCAGTGCGTGTTGGAAAGATCAAGAAGCAAGGAACACTCTTGTGCCCAACTTCCATAAGGTAGTTGCCATTTTGCCATTCTCTATGATGATGGAAGCAAGGAACAATCTTGTTCATTGTTTGAATGTTTGTTATAGAAGTTGTGATTTTGATCTTTAATTTACTCTCATTATCTCACTAGATTGATTAGGATGGGCTGAGGTTTGCAATTTTTTGGTCTTGAGTTTTTTATGTTTTGAAAATGGGCAACCCTTTTGGAGCATTTTCTCAGAAGATATTTGACCCAACTTTAATTTAACAAACAAGCAACATTTGTTAGACATTTATTTATTTATTTTGTGATTCTAGGATATTTAGGCTACTCTTGTGACAATACTAACTTAATGAGTAACACAGTTCTAGAAAACATATTCTATTGTGTTAGTGTGTGTTTTGTTGCGAAATATTTGATAGGGAAAGATGATTTAAGAAAACTTGTATCAGATTAAGTTATGTGAGTTAAAATACATTACATCTTTTTAATGATTAGTTATTTTGAGGTTTGTAATGCCTCTTTAGGGGTAGGGTCTGCGTACCAAGACCATACTTTTGTGGGATTCTACTGGGTTAATGTTATTGTTGAGGTTTGTAATGTTTTATCTGGTGAGTAGGTTGAGATTTTCTTGATCAGTTGCATGTTTGATGTGTCCCCCTAAGCCATTTTTATTATTGTTCTTCTTACTAATACCTATGTGATTGGTTGATTTATTTCATGCCAATGCTTATGCATTTTCAATCTCAGTTGCGAATAGCAATAGGATACACTAGATATTTTGTGATCCATAGTCTAGGGTTCTTTTTTGAGTTTATTGTACATGAATTGCAGACGTACCTTAACCATCTCATGATGGAAACTGCATGCCGGATTCTATCTTAGACCACTGCGTCTTGAAATGTGACACTGTTCATAGCTAGGAGGTGCACATTGACAGTCGAGATACCATTGAGGTTGGTCTTATGTGTACAAAATTTGGTTGCTAGAATGTAGATGTCATAAAGTGGATTAATTTTTACCAAAAGTGCAAGCATTGACATTATTTTGTTTTTAATATGTTAACTCAACTTGTTTATATATGTTGATGCTCCGTATAGAATCAAGTTCACTTCCTCAGTTAAAGTTATATTCCATCTCTCCATTATTATTATCATTAATTATTAATTTGTAATTTTTTCCTACCTATATTCACTTTTTTTTCTATCATATCATAGATGTGGACTTATTGCAGATCATATCATATTTTAACTGTAAACCTATGTAGATTTTATTCATATACCATCAATCAACAATAGTTCTTGATTGATGTATTGTTTTCTAGTAACAATAATGTTCATCCTTCCAAATGAATATATCTTTTGACTTGTAGGCAAATTGGGCGTATACTATTATGATCTCTGAATAAGAAGTAAAGGTAGTATCATGCTCTTGCATTTTTTTTTCTGTTAATGCAGTATCTGCCATCAAGTTATTTGATTTCCAATGCTTGACCATTCAAGAGTGTAGTCATTTCTACGTATTTGTTTCAATGCTCTTCGCATTTTGAGCGATATTCTACATACTTTTGCTTATTGTTCTCTATTTAAGTTATAGTCAATGTCCTCTCAACCATTATGTGTACAAAAAACTGCACTGTTTAAATTTCACTGGAGAACATCATTGCTAATTAACTCCATTCGGTCTCGTTATGATTATATATTATGTATTTTAAAATTTTAATCCTCTTTCCAAGTAGACATGTTTTTGAGAGATATCAATTTCATAGTCTATTTTTATTGTTGTTTCTTTTGTTTCTATATCATTTGCTTGTGCTGGGTAGTATTTTGCTAACTACGGATTTGGGGAGTATGTCTTTTAAGTTTCATGTCTTTATGAAGTATGAAGTATGAACTATGTCTTCAAGTCAGTTATGAAGTTGATTTGCACCAAGTGTCCTTTCTTCTGTGCATGTAAAATAGTTTTGGCCCATCATCAGATCCCAAACCTCAGAAGCATTCCAATCTGGATATTAAAGGCATGTTTTGAACTCAGAGATATAAGAAATAGAATTTAAATTTGAGAGGGTAATAAATTGGTTTAGGGAGTATAACACAGTCCAATAAGTCTAAATATTTGTAAAATCTTGAAGTTGTATTCGAAGGGAATTTTTCTTCATATTTTCCAAAGATAAACTATTCATAATAGAATCATTTACCTTCACATTTTTCTTTTCATCTCTGTACTTTTTTTCTTGTTCCAAACATAACCTAAGGCGACGTGCATTTATCAAGTTCTTTTTGATATCTATCATTAGTTTTTTAACACTTCCTGCTGCTCATTAGTGTACCTTTGCTTTGCTACTACAATAGGGGAAACTTAACTCTCTCGCTTTTACCAACTTCCGACCTGCGCATTTCATTCATGGGGGATGATGGAAGTACAGATAGACTAGCAACCCTTTGCAGCACATTTGACTGTTCGGCTGTTGAAATTAATGGAATCCCCGCAGATCAGTGTGGACGTTCTTTTGTGATAAAAATCCCAGTTGGTTTAAATTTTTATTTCTGGTGCTCGGAAAAGTCTAAGCTTCTTGGGGATGAAATGCTAAGAAAGGTGGATTTAAACTCCTTCATGATTGATTCCATATTCCAAAACAAAACGCTATTGTTAATCCACTCTATTGTTCACTTGATGTAGATGAAAGATTTACTAGAAAAAAAACCTTCCCTTGCTGAGCTAACTGGAATCTCTGAGTCACGGCTGAAGTGTTTTGCCATTCATCTCCGGGCCCATCTTGTTGGGTCAACGATCCCCACATTTGACTCTTCGATTGATGATTCCGCTGCATCTGACCGGTCAGAGTCGGACCAGAGGACTATACGGCATCACAGCAGCCTGAGTGCAAGGTCGGGTTCTTTCAAGGACACCTTTCTCAGGAATTCATTGAGGAATGGTTCGAAGGAGAGGCTCAAGAGGCTTGGGGATAGTAGCATTGTCCAGCCACCAAATACACAAGAACCATCTGAGGAGGAAGAGAAGCCTTCTTCCAACAATGCTATGTTTCAGCTGTTATGCTCCGACTCGCCATGTAATACTCCAGGACATATGGTTCAGTCCAATCAGTCCTTGGGAGGTTCTCCTTATTATTGTTGGTGCCCTCCCGTGTCGGCTTTGCAATACTCACTAGGCACTCCGCATCTTCCAATTCTATCCACAGAACCTCTTTCTCTCCCTGCTGTTTTCCCCCCTCTATCAACTGCCAAAGCCAAGCTTCCTCTAAACTTTTCAAGTGTTTCTTCTCTGGACTTGCCCCCTCTTCTGCCTGACCCATTACTCAGGCTGCCAATCTCCCAGCAAATCCCCACGTTTACCCCTCTGATGTGCGATCCTATTGTCCACATCCCATTCATTGACGTTTGCTCTTCAGGGGGGCAAGGGTATCTGGTGAGTGCGGGCCCTGGCATGTCGACCGCCATTCCCCAGGCGGAATCAGTGGGGGACAAGAGTGCAAGAGAGACGCTCCGTCTGCTCATGAGTAGCTCAAACCCATCGAATTCCCCCTTGATGAGTGTCTTGCCTTCTTTTCTGCCTGGTAATGATGAGAAGATGCTGAACATGTTGGCTTCGGGAACCAGGGGTCTCTATAGTAGTGGAGGAACACTGGACATCGGCGTGAGGGAATTCGGGGGCGGAAAGTTTGTGTTTGAGAAGACGACCGAAATGGCATCGACCTCTCGCAGATATTGTTTGGATGATGACGATGGGGATGACGACGACGAAACTTCACGTGATGATATGTTGTAGATTTGGTGTGTTTTTTTTTGTTGTTGTTGTTGGAAGTTGGAACTGTACAGCCACTCCCAATTTTTCAATGTTATGTGTAGTCATTGTTGCTGGGTTTCACCCCAGGTAACAATTGCCCTATTAATTTCTCTCATAAATGTCTCACCCCTATGTTATGGAACAGTTATTAGTGGTTTATGGTCGAGTTAAATGAAGAGAAGAGATGCAAGAGCTAGAGTTTCTGGCTTTCTCCTAAAACATTATTAGACAAAGGGAGTAATAATTAGATCATACTACATCAGGATCAGAAACAACTTTAATTATAACTATAATCAGAATGAATCAGATCATATTAGATTAGATATTCAAAAAATCAAATCAGGTCAAATTAGGTGAGCAGAATGCAACCTTAGAGCGGGCAAACAAGTTGGTCGATTGAATTTGAGTTCAAGTCTGATTCTTTCAAGTTTGGGGTACTTTGAGAGTTGGGACTGAGTTAGAAAGTGTATATTCATGACCCATTATTATTAGGTGAATGACCAAATGGATTATGGATGTTTATTTTTAAATTACTTGAATTTGTGGTAGCACTAGTTTTTGCATAAAGAATTAGAGAACAATAAAATTATTGAAATATACTCAGTATATTCAAGCTGTTATACTACGGTAATACTCCGGTAGTTTTAATTAATTTTTAGATGTAATCAACAATATTATAATCAATACGAGTATTAAAAAATTTAATATGTACATTTTTTTTTGAAAAATAGTAAGATAACAATATGATTTTTTTAAAAAAATTTGTTTAAAAAGGTAAGTTTATACACTCCAAACAAAATAAGAAAAATGGTTATAATATTACGGATTACAACATTACTTTTATCACTTCATATTTTAATCTAAAGTATATGATTTTGAACAAAAATTACTTTAGTTGGTCATGTTCGAAATGGTTTGTCTCATTTTTTGCGGGCGGTTTCAGATCTGATTAACATATACTCCATATCTTTCCTCAAAACTCAGTATTTTCACATTGAGACTTGAGTCAATAAGAGGTTGGGTTAATATTTGTGGTTCCTATGTGAGTATAGAGCATGGCAAACTGTTTAGAGAGCAAAACACAGCAAGCATAAATTGAATATGTTGCGTTCACAGAGCATATTTACAGGGAGCATTCAGAATGATTTGTGGCAAATTAAGGAGCCATATTATTATTATTATTATTAAGCCTGGAGGACCCACATAGTGTCTCCTCGAACCGGATGATCTCATTCATGGATCCGTACGCCACCTGAGTCCGGTCGTCGACGCCTGCGATCACCTTCTCCAGCACCGACTGCTTCCCGTCGCTGCTGTACCCTCCCGCCTTCTCCACCAAGAACCCCAACGGCGCCACCTCAAACAGTAACCTCAGCTTCGCTTTCGCCGATTCCGATGCCACGTTCGTGAATATGCCCTTCTCTTTCACTATTATCTGCATTTTCACATACACATACTCATGGGCATTTTGGGAATCAGCCCTTTTTGTTTTTCAACTATTTCTGATTTAAGAATAAGTTGAAGAGAACCTGGTTTACATCGGGGACCATTCCTCCGGTGTATCTCAAGGTGTACTTCTCCTTCACATAATAGTCAATCAGCTGTTATCAAGAACTAAGAACTCAGAACATCTTATGGAGTTATCTCACATCAACCAAGCAAAAATATGGATTTCCACATCCCTTAATACTTGAGACTTGACTCGAAAATACTGGGTTTCAAACAAAATTTTAACTAGACAAATCCAAAGAGGATAAAAAAACATAAAACTGGGTCAAATCCAACCCAATCCGACCTGACCAGCTCGCTAAGACAGTCTTGGGTACTCGTCTTATTATATTAGATTGCACTATAAGTGGAAACCTTAGCATATTGAGGATTATCAGATGTGGCTCTCAAATTCCCCGGGGAAAAGATTTTCCCTTCTCCAATCTCTGTCGTGTCCTTGACGTGCTGCCATTTCCCTGCTCAATGTAGAACATCGATGGATGAAATAGTTCGACAGTATTACTCGAATAATAAGTATACAACAGGGTATATATATATAATAGGAACCAGTCCTTTAAGAAGCACAAGTTTGTACCATCATCTAGGAGGAGGAACTCATGTGTTCCAGGGACATCTTTAAGAGCAAGAACGTACGTGGTCCGTGGCCCGAATATCCCCATTGCAGCTGCAACTTGATCTCTTCCCTTAACCCCGGTTAGCTTATCCCCGGGCCACACGCCGAATATGGTCCCCACCGTGAAATTCGTGTCCACGATACTCGAACCATCAAGCGGATCAAAAGCCACACTAAATCCACCTACACACAAAAAGATCACATACGCCGCGGTTTTCAAGTTTCTTTCAAAATTATGCAACTTTAATCACCATGATAGGCGACCACATAACGCGCCAATCATCATTTACTAGTTTATTGAAACATTATACATATCTGTGTTAAAGAACCAACTCAACCAGCAACTCAGGTTACTTGTGGTTGCAGGTCAGAAAATGTTTTATACGGTAACAAATATGAACAAAGCCCGACAGTTGACACTAACCCTCGACCGGGCCTCCCATGTCTTGGAGCTCGGGGACTTCTTCAGAACAAGCATATTTGCAGAAGTGTGAGTATCTTAAGGCCTAAACATTTCAAAAAATTAAAAAAGATTAAATTAAACAATAATCTATATGACCTAAGTATCAATACCCTGTTTGGGTAAAATGTTAATTAAGTGAAAAGACTAATTTTTTATGGTAAAGGGAGACCTCAAAGAGGATCTTATTAGCAAGCAAATCAACAGCCAGTTGTTCATCACCAAATGAATTGACACAAGCAGTTCCTCCACAAGAAGCTGTCCTAACTTTAAAGGCAATTGTTCTAAGTGCTTCCCCTAAACACACCATTAGCCTGGTAAGCCCCTTATCTTTGGTTGATTTCACAAGAAACTCCTCCAGACTGTCCCCAATTTCACATTTAGCCCCTAGGGAAGTGTTCTTTCTCCTTGGGACCCTTCGTGAAAAAGATTTGGGCCTGACCCACACTGAATCTCCCAAAAAGGAAGTCTTTTTCACACTCTGCACAACACCATGTATGACACATGAAGATATTCAAAGGTTTCTTTATTTTCTTGGAAATTGATAGTTGCAGAACATACCCAGTTTCTTGATGATGGAGAAATGGGCCTTGGAATGAAGAATGCAACTGGGTGTTGGGAAGAAATGTTGGGAAGGATAGGTGCACGTGCGCTGCATGTGACGCCAGTCTCCATGAATTTGGATATCCTCTTCTTTGGATCTTTTGCTTCTTCTTCTTCTTCTTCTTCTTGTGGCTTGTGAGCTTGAAAAGTGAAGTTGATCACAGCAGCATGGAGGGAGAGCTAATGGATAAAAGGGCAATGGGATTCGTGACACGTGGAGGCTGTTTTAATATATGTGTGGATAAGTTGATAGTATGGTGATATGTGATGGTACTACAAAAGTACAAAATGTTAGGGAATTGTGTGTGATCCCAAATCTCTCATCACCTTAACTTTGTAGCTTATAATCCTTATATACTTTGTAAATTCGTATAGACATGATTAAAAAGCGGCTCGGGCTAAATTTGATTTATTGTCTCAATTAGAATGTAATATTTGTTTATTTTTAATAGATTTTGAGTGTCATTGACTTGATTACAACGTACTCTTTCCGCTCCCAGTTTTTGTCCACTTTTGACTTTTAGAACTGTTCATCTAAGTACTTTGACTCATCAAATTCTCAATGTGTAAGCCTAAATATAGTCATGTGTGATCTTGTTTGATTTGTCTTAACATATATATTATTAATATATAATTTCTATAATTTTTTAATATACAAATTACAAGATAAAATAGATTAAAGAAGTGTATTGGATGGTGTGTAAAAATGAAAGTTGACAAAATTTGGGGGACGGGGGGAGTATTATTTGTTCATACTTTTTTCAATGCAATGACACTCAAAGAGTCATTGTCACCGTCTTTGTTGGAACTCGAACTTAGATAAACTTCCTAATAAATCTTGGTGATTGTGCTTTCCACCACTTAAGCCAGTTGAGAAAATCATGTTTTTAAACTTTATAAAATAGGGCTGGACACGGTACCAGCTCGGTACCGTTACCGGCGCCGGTACCGGCGGTACCCGCCACCGTCGCCGTCGACCGATTCGTTACCCGGTACCAGGAACCGGCACCGGTACCGCCCCACTCGGTACCGGTTCCGGTGCCAATATTTCCGTACCGGCACCGGCGGTACTGGTACCGGTACCGTTAAATTTTTTTTTCTCTTTTCCGGTTTTCCCTGCTGTCCAACGGAGTGTTAATGGCGAAATCTCTCGGATTGATTTGCAGGAGGATGAGCCAGTGAAGGATGCAACAACCGATGCTGTATTTTATGCTCCGCCACGCCACTGCCGACCTTGATTTCTCCTTTCTTTTCTCCTTTTTCTCCTTTTCTCCTTTCTTACCGCCAAAGGGTTCCAAGTTCTTCCAATTTTTCTTGAATGAGGGGTCTTCTCTGCCGGGGAGTTGAAACCGACCGGTCCGGGAACCGGAACCGGTACCGGCCGGTCCGGTCACGGTGCCAGTGCCATGGGGTGGCGGTACCGGAACCGGCGGTTCCGGAACAGGAACCGTCCCGGAACCGTACCGTGTCCACCCCTATTATAAAACTTAAACAATTTGTTTTTGAAAGAAAAGAGTATTTTTCATTACACTACGATTTATGTGACATTGCGCCGAATGTCATAAGATTGCCCGAACATCCTATGAGGCTCTATTGATAAAATTGATATTTCTTGCCCCTCTAACTATTTCTGAAACCTCAACGCCCCCCCCCAAACCGCTTGACTTCCTGCACCCCAACCCACAACTCTTCTTCTTTGTCGATTGAACTCTTCTTCTTTGTCGATTGAATGGTAGCCAGTCGGCAAAAGAGAGTTGACTAGGAGGCTAGATGCAGGGAGGGGTTTTAAAATATGTTAAGGGATGGACTGTCAATTTTACCAACAAAACTTCATAGAAAGTTCGAATCGTCTTACTCCGTATGATATTCGACCCCAATGTCACATGAATCGGCTTTTAGGTAACATTTCGTCCAATTTATTTTTTTCAGCTTATTACTTATTCTTGTTATAATCAAATCAGACTAGACTAGATCTGAAATAAATCTAATTATAATTGCAATGAGACCAGACCATATCAGATCCGAAAAACGGGTTGTAGCCTTAGTCATTATTTATTCCCTAGTGTATCATATACTTGGTACAAAACGAATAATGGTGAAATCATATTGTGAAGGCTAAAAAAGGAATACTATGAAGTATGAACGAGACACGTGCTTGCTGTCCATGGAACTTGGAAGACTGTCCTTTCCCATTCCTTTTTGCCCCCTTTTATTTAATTGAAGTTTTTAAATTCTTCAACTCTCTCACTACTCTCTTCATCACCATTTTGGCTACACTGTAGAAAGGTAACCCGGACACCCCAATATTTTCTTGCATTTTTTATAATCCTTGATTATTGACCTTTTTTTCTATCAAAAATGGAATCTTGGATTTGTTTTATCAATTTTCCGGTGAAGATTTCTCCTGGAACTATATTTCTGCAGGGATATATGTTATTTTAGTGAATTGTTGTGGGTTGCCATGCCATTTATTTGCCATCCATTTTCGGATCACAACATGTGGACCCGATTCTTAATTTGGTACGAATTTAACGAAAAGATTTTGTGAGCTTTTTCCGCTTCACAGGAACAATAAATGATACAGAAAAGTTCAAAACTTTTACACAGCACTCCAAATTTAATTTCTGGGTTTGGATCTTTTTTTGTTTCTTGTTGGAAATTCTTGCAAAGAATCTTGGCTTATTATCTCTGGATCTGCTATTGAACAGTGAGTTTTTACAGATTTCGAGTTGAGCTCAAATCCATTTCTGGGCAGTCTGATCCGTTCATCATCATCATCATCATCATGTCTGCATATGGCCATTTAATGGAGAGGGGATTTTCTTCTCACAGTCTTTCAAGCAGAGGAAATTCAGGTTGGTTTGTTTGTTTTTTCATGCTTAATATCCCATAGGGCTTAGATCACAATTCCCAGAAAACTAAGAACTTTTAGATGTCCCACAAATTCCATTCTTTCATTTCTTTTAGAACATGGGGTGTGATTTGTGAATATGATTTGGCTCACATGAACCAATCTGTGCAGAAAGGGGAAGCATTTTTGCCATGGAGACAGGAATTTACATGTCATCATTTGCAGCCATTGTGTTCATTGCTGGGCTTGTGACAGTTGGGGTTTCCTTAGTGACACTTCTGGTAACCTTAACAGTAATGTTGCAATCTTGCCAGAACAAAAACTCTGGACCTATAGAGAGTCTCCTCCAAGCGCCCGAATCCCCTTACAATCCTCACTACTGCTTGGCATTTGCTATGCACATTGAGCTAAACAGTTTGGGATCCGATTCGTTGCCTCAAATCTGTAAAGATTTTGCAATCCAGTACATCAGAGATGGCCAATACGCCGAAGATTTAAATGCCACATTTCAGCTGGCTGTGAATTTCTTCAACACAGTCAAACCACCGGAAGATGGTCGCAGTGTCGTGTTGATGGATGTTGACGATTTTCTCCCCGAAGATCTCTTTGAAGAACAAGAACAAGATTGCGTTGATTGCACAGAAGACTACGCGAAATACCCAAAACGTGTTTTTGTCCAAAATTTGTATAAGAAACTTGTAGCTCGAGGATGGAAATTGGTTTTGGTATCAAGAAAGCCAGAGAAATTACGCAATGCCACTATCGAATATCTTCTTGCATTACAATGCCATGGTTGGTCTTCGCTTATTATGAGGTACCTCCTCTTCTAGACATAAATTTCATTCACCTAAGAATGTGTCAATCCAAGCTTGATGATCCCAAAATGCATACTGTATAGAAGTTGTTTATGATATAATTTAGGATATGGTATGAGTTACTCAAGTGGGTCATGAGACACTTTGATCAAACGATACTAAAAGATTAAACTCAATCGATTATTTATCTGTCTTATTAATCCATTGTCCTATTGTAGAAAGGAGCACGAAATGGATATGGATACTAGGGAGTACTTCTTCATGCAAGGGAAGGCTCTGCAAGATGCGGGGTTTCATGTTGTGGCTGCCATTAGTAGCCGTTTGGATACTTTAACTTGCCAATCTTCGGATACGCGTGTTTTCAAGCTACCGAATCTGGTTTCAATATCAAGTATTAGCTTCATTAAAGCTACTACTGGTGCTTCTTGAATGTTTACATGCAGAGAATGGATTGATCAGTCATACATATACTTATAGAATACATATACTTATAGAAGAAGACACACACAAGTTTGTGAACTGTGATTGGCTTGGTAGTACATAGGAATTCTGATCCTTGTATATGTTATAATTCACATATCGAAATCTCTATAGGCATGCCGATACTCACTTCGTTCCAAAAAAAAAAACTTGTTTGGATATGGATTTATTCTACAACCTTATGAAACATTTATATTAATTCATACACAACGGTTCTTTTGACCCGAGCTAAAGTGACCTTAGATTCTTAGAATGACCCGAGACTTCTACAGTGCTCTGTTGGTAAAATTGATAGTTTCTACCCCCTAACCCCAGAATCAATGTATCCCGACTCAGCACTCCTTGCCTCCCTAGATCGCCAATTTGGCACTGCCAAATCGGCGGTCTAGAGGGGTGCACGGGAGTTTGAAGAGTAGGAACTATCAATTTTACCAACGAAGTACCGTAGGAGCCACAAAACACCAAGGTCATTTGAGGTCAAATTAGACTTGGGTTAAAAGATTCTTGTCGTAATTCATATTAAAATGTTGGTTTCAATCAATTTTAATTCAATTCAAAGTTTTATTAATTTATGGAAAATGCTAGAGTCACAAACGTATAGTTCACAAACTTCACAAACTTTTCTTAATTCTAAAGTGTGACATTTAAGGCTTTCATCTAGTTTTGAGATCCTTTTTTAAAAAAAGGTGTTGAAGACTTTATGTCACATGATGAGATGTATGCCAGTGGTATATGAATAAGATGATAAACTTTGAAAATGGTATATGAATAAGATGATAAACTTTGAAAATTTGGAGCATGATGTTGTCTATTAGGTCTTTTTATTTTTCATTATAGTTAGTAGTTTTTAAAAACTTGGAAAATGTACAATGTTAGGGCATTTACAGCGACCCCAAAACCGCATTTTGAGGCGGGATGAAAAGTTAGTGGAATATTGATGTGATAGTTGATGGTGTAAATATAGCCGGGCGGGTTAACCGGGTTTAACCTGAACACTTGACCCGTAATATAAAACACACAACAAGAACACAAAGTATGACCTAGACCGGGTAAATCTCCTCAGTCCGAATTATATTTCTTACTCTGTCTCAAGAGTGTACTATTTTTAGTGAGAGAAAGAATGGATCCCCTCCTCTATCCAATATCATCATATTTATAGAGGAGGATTTGTGACCTTCCCCTGTTCATCCATGGACAAAATAGGAAGCCCGTGGGAAGGTCACTGTACATAATCAATCTACTATTCAATCAATGAATTTAGCAACTACAAGCCAAGACATGTACTGTTCAATCAAAGACTAAAATGGATATTCTCAATCCAATCAACCCTGCAAAATGACAAACATCCCTTTCACTGTGTGCCTCGTGATGGATGAGCGGCGGGGTGTCCCATTGACCTCTGACGTGATTCACCATGCCTAAGAGACTGGACCAATGTTAGCCAAGTAAAGTGATATGACCGGTCACCTTCTCTGAAAGGTTACCCGGTCATTTCTTGCGCTCAACCCGTCTCTTTGGTCTTCTAGAATGTCCTTCGTAGAATAAGGTGATATTTTCGCTATCGCCCAAAATGTGACCGGTCATTTTTTTAGTGGAAGTGACCGGTCAACTTTTGACCCGTCCAAATCGAAGAGTTAACCTCATTTGGTGATTGATAAAAGTGACCGGTCATACTTTGACCTGTCCCTTTCGGTTGTCCGGGTCGGGTATAGGGATATACCCATCAAGAAGTCCTCCACTTACCGGCCTTGTGAGGAA